TGCTTCCACTGTTCCTAGCTCAGGTTATTAAGAATTTTTATACCCAAACAAACTGTAATTCTGATGTTTTCCAGCTGCATGTTGTGAGAGGAGGAAATAGTTTGTTTTCTGCTGCCCTGTTACAGAGCACTACTATATGTTCAGAAAGAAAAGGAAAGAACTTTAAGTGATGCTCTTAATTAAACCTGAAAGAATTAATATAAACTACATATTGTGTAAAATTTACATTAAAATGTATATACAATTTACATTTTACTGCTGTTCTTTTTCATCTAGCATGGTATATAGTCTTTATAAGTACTGACTTCTAGTATCCTGCCAATGTGTTTAGACACAGTTGAGCAGAAATGAAGTGGTACCAGGGCTCTGCTTCCTGAGGAATTGGAATGGTCAAGAAGAGAAGTTTTCTTAATTTCCTGTGAAAGTAGCAAATGAGTTGGCAGTTGCAAGCCAAGATTAAGAAATAGATGCTTTGTAATGGGGACCGAGACCCTCGGAATCAAAGCAACAGCCAGTGATGATGGGGTGAAGGAAACTGACACTGTTAGTGCATGAGAAAAGCGATTGGAGGGAGTTTAAGATAGTGTTAAGTAATTACTCTTAATTGAGAATGCTAAGGGAAATGAGAGGAATAATGAAAAGAAGTACTGATAACTGGCAAATAATGATACTGGTGATTTTGGCGTAAAGGAACAAAATGGTAGAAGAGAAGAGCTGCTCCTGTGAGCTGAATTTAGGATGAAAAGAGCAAGGTTTTAACCTCTGGTGTAATTGTGGGTGCAATCTTGAGCATCCAAATGGAGTGCTAGCAGTTGATCCTGGTTTCGGGATGAAGTGGGTGGGAACCTTGCTCCTCTCTCTTCCTGACCCTGGTGTTTTGTTACAGCATAGAGATGCTGTTGTGCTGCTGAAAATTGCCGGAGCCCTTTGGAAATCCCCCTTGGAGGCCTATTTGCTGTTTCCCTTTGTTAGAATTTTTGGATTAGGACTTTGTGACAGATCTGGCCATCTGGAGCTGCGCAGCTGAAAAAGCCGTGCTATAAAAAAGCAGAGCTGCCTTACTGAGCCAGGTGTGGGTGGCGTTTCCATTTCAAATTGCTTCTATGCTTAAGTTTTAGCTAAAACAGAAGTCCAGTAAATATTTCTGTGTTTGTTGTGGTAGGAGAATATCGTCTTCTTTCATGAAAACCTAAAAATCAAAGGAAAGCTTATTATAAGGTATCGTAAGTGACACTGCTGACACAGTCACCAGCTAATTCAAAACACATGGTTTAGAACTGCTTTTTAAACTACAAACTATTCTAAAAAATTTACTTAGGCTCTGTAATTGTGAGGTGGCTCAAAGAGTGGTATGTGGTTTAAACCTATAGTTGCAAATGTTGACTCCACAGAGCCGTGTCTCTTTGTGTTGCTAAAAGGAAAAGAATAGGAGGATTTTTTGGTGGTCTATGGATCATTAAAATGTGTCAAACTAAAATGACTTTAAGTTAAATTATTTTATATATTTGAAATAAATAGGGAATAGTATGAAATTATATTTTTGGATCAAATAGAGTTTGAACCAAAAGACTCAAAGTTTGGGGTTTTTTTATTGCAAAGATAGAAGGCTATAATAGGTAGAACTGAGAGGCGTAATGATGTGCCATGAAAGTCGACATGACAAATGCATAGATCTGTCTTTCTTTTTTTTTGAGATAAAGGTCTTTGCTTAGGCTCTGACATAATGCTGTTTATGCAATGCCAGAAAGATAAAGAAATCTTAATTATTTAATTACACTCTTGGTTAAGCCTCCTCCCGTTGAATGGATGGAGCGGTAGTTGAAACCTTAGAGGCAGATTTTAGAATGCTTCTGCTAAGTAAGTTTTGATAAGTGTGTACGCAAAACTTCTTTTGAAAGGAGTCAACTTTATTTTTTCTTTTGTCTATAGTAGATAATATTTGATATACTTGTGAAGTTTTAGGCTTTGCTGGATTGTGTAGATTGGAGGAAAAGATAACGTATGCCAAGCATCTCTGATGAGTTTGGATAAAGCCAGAACTGGATGAAGTCCCACTCTCTTCTCCAACTTCAGAGGTCTCGTTGCAGTATTAGAGTGACTCTCAGCTTCTCTGTGGAAGGAGGAGAGAAACATGATTTGAAGTTGTTTAACTATGCAGTGCAGGCAGAGTTAATAAATACATCAAGCAGTAAAATATATTTTGACTGGGGCTGTTGGGAAACTAAAACTCAGTGTATTAGAAAAGATGAATGGTTACTAAGATGATTAACTGGTAACTGAGTATATCAACAGAGAGAATATTTTCTCTGTGCTTGATGCTGAATTCATTTTCCAGTGTAAAACTGCTGCCAAGAAAGTTGTTTCAACAGTGACATACTAGTTGATAGCTGAGATTGATTGACTGAAGGACAGACAGGAGGCACGGAATAAATAAGCCATCCAGTCTGCAAGTTTGAAAAGCATCTAGAGTCT